GGACATGGACCAAAGTAAACATCAAATCATTTTCAGGTCGTTCTTATAACACTTTGTTATTTAAATATATAAAAATAAACGTAATGAGTGACAGGTGAGACTGACCGATCGGTGGGCGGGACCTTGCTCCTGCGACTCCATCCCCGATCGCTGTGGCTCCTAAATGACGTCATGGCAGCATTTCTGTATTCTGGCTTCATTTCTACAGAGGTGGTGTAAAACTGTCCCGACCCCCGAGGATACTCTCTGGGAATCGAACTGCAGAAATATGGTAAACAACTTCCCAATGCGAGATGATGATGAGCGGCCAGGGCCTCACGGATCTCTCACATCCCCTCACAATAGCAAGAAACCGTTGCCAACACCTGATTCCAATCATATGTGATCATATGTGATTATTAGCACCTGTGGATGCCCCCCCCCCTCCACACACACTTTCAGAGACAAGATAGTTTGCAGACTGTCCCTTGTATTTGTACAATATTGTAACAGCAACAGTTTTAATGACGCGTCGGACATCCAGAGATTTTAAATCAACGTCCGAGCCAAGTCTCTGCAACACAACCATTAGTGAAACTGCTGAGAGCCGCGCTGTTGTGGCCAAGCATTGTTTATCATGAGCGATGTCTAGTGCACTGTTTCTTTTTCATTTTATAAAAAAATCGCCCATTATTGGATGCAGCTTTTCCATTATTCTAAATGAATTTGTTGGTTTGTGGTGATGCAGTGGATCCAGATAGAGTCGTGTGTTTGACTGCAGCTCACATGTGTCGACAGGGCTGCTACTAATAAATGTTCATTACCGAATAACCAGATTTCCCGCTGATTAATCCATCAATCGCCTCATTTGTAAAAAAGGCACAAATCACTTTGTTTCCCAGATGGCATCTTAAAAATATCTTCTTTTTTTTCCCCCAACCTAAAGATGTTAAAAAACAGAAAATGAGTTTTCTGTGGTTCGTTCTGTGGAGAAGTTTTTCACACAGTGGAAACACTTTCCTGTTTTTGCGGAGGAACCTGAAACACGTCACATCTAATGATTGCTGGTAAAACTGTTGGCAAACTAAAGCCTAAAAAAAAAATAAAAATAAAACAATCCATCCCTTTTCACGACATCTCAATGAGCCCGAAGCTTCTTTTGGAATCTATTGTTTTTTGAACTGTTGGTGAAATGTGCTGGTCATGAATAATCACTTCCAGCTATAAGAGCTATTGTTCATGTAAACTAACGTTCAACACATTTCATTGCCCAACATCTTTCCAAGTGGTTGATGGCAACGAACCTGCGTATCAGCTGCAGAACGATGCTTTAAATGCCAAACGTGTTATAATATCATGCGGTGTTTATGTATTTGTAGGCTTGGGGTTTTTTAATGTGCAGCTGTGTAAAAGTACTCAAGTACTGATCCTCAGAATCTGTATTTTACTGCATTTCATTCTATCATTTAAATAAGAGAAGAAGCTCGATCGAATGCAGTTTTACTAAGTTTCTCTTGTATTTTTTTAAATGATCACAGGCGATGACGTCATTCCTGGAAGTTAAAGAAAGGACTCGTCGTGTTTATCGTTTGTGTCTGTGTCATTATATCTCCGAGGTTTCCGACAGTTAAACAATCGTGGACAGAGTCACCTGGTCGCTGAGAACCGGAATGATTTCACTGATTCTGGGAAATGAACTCCCCACTCTTCCCACCATCCCTCCCTCTCATGTTCACCCCCCCCACCCCCGCTCTTCAGTGGGACAGTAGCAGAGACGAGGGACTCCCGCGGTCCGGGAAGACCCAGGTGATGTGAGCGAGGGGTCGCAGGGGGTCACGCTGTCAGATACAAGAGACTGATGGAGGACCCCGGTCCTGCCAGTGTCACGAAGACGGATCAAATGAAAACACACACACACACACACACATTCATACCATACAAACCTGTATGGTATGAACACACTTGTATGGTAAAGTGCAGCTACACAACACATGACAATACACCAACGTACAAGAATTACATCTTTGCAAACTTTGTCTCTATTTCATGCATCTCACTATCTCTTATTCATGAACACACACACACACACACACACACACACACACTCATACACACACACACACACACTCACACACACTCACACACACACTCACACTCTCTGAGACTGACAGAAACAGGTTGTCGGCAGGGTGAGGGGAGATGTGACTCACGTCCAGCTCATTTGTCTACAGTCCATGTGTATGACTGAGTTTGAGTTCACATACCCTCACATTTCTCAAACAAACAGGTTTCTCAAGCACCCACACACACACACTCACTCTCTCACACCCACACACACACACACACACACACTCTCTCTCACACACACACACACACACACACACACACTTTCTCACACCCACACACACACACACATTACTGCTACACTAATGCTACGTTAATCCCGCGATAAGTCGCGATGTCTATAACTAATGGTCAAGATCCTTCTCTTTTAATTATAGTTGTCATTTATTTTCTGACTTCACAGATCACGATGATGTCATTTTCACCATGTGATCATCAATTATTTTTCGATTTACATCAGATTAATGTCGTCATCTTATATAACGCAGAGAAACCTTGAACTCTGCACGACATCGTTTGTCTGAGTTCATGGCACAGATGACATAATGTGATCGGATGATTCAATCGTGGCTGCATCCTGGAAAATTTGTTTTTGGGACCATATTTCTGTTGACCTCAGCCTCAAACATTGATTATCTGGAAATACCAGCTGAAGTTATATTCCCACCGAGTTTGTTGAAGATCTGTGAATGTGTTGTTGAGTAATTTTGTACACAAGCAAACACACACAGCGGTGAAAACGACAACCTGCCTCTGGCTCCGCTCGCACAGCAGGCTGATGGTTAGCATGTTAGCGATATCATACGTAACGCTTGGAACCAAACGTATTTACATTAATCTTCTTTAGTCATTTCTTAGTGTTTCCAAGTAGCAAAGTTCAGCCATTAGCTGTTGTTTTAAAGCCTTTTGTCTCCTACCTGCTCTCGTTGGACGGTACGAGCTGTCAATCACACGGAGTCCGTCCATTTGACTCTAAACAGAGCATCAGAGTCGCCCTCTGCTGGTCGGTCAAGACAACGGAAGTTTTATAACATTTCCGTCTCCGTTGACGGGAATGACTTCATCCTCTTGACGATATCAGAAACGTGTCTTTTCTCACTTTTAGCAAAAATATGAAGAAACTCCCTTTATCTCTTTGTTTGAGACACGTGCACTGACGTATATTTTCACAGCACACACACACACACACACACACACACACACACACTCTTAAATTCATACTGACACACAGATGGCCCCTGCTCTGACCACAAATGTAGTGTAACCCCTGGTCCCTGTGGTGCGGCCGGGGCTCAGACTGCCAGTAAAAGCGAGGGATGCTTCATGGCTCAACAATTTGCTGGGTAAATGGAAAGGGTTTGGTGTGTGACCTCAAACACTCTCCTCTCTGTCTCCCCTTCACTCGCTCTATCTGACTTTCTCTCTTCTTTTTTTTTTTTCCCTCTCTCATCTCGTCCTCTCCTGATTTCATTGGTTTTTCTCCTAATCTGATTTTCTCTTGGCCTCTTTTTTACGTCTTCTTTAACTTTTTCCTTTTCCCCTTTGCCTTCGGGGCATTTTAATTCATTACCCTCTATTTTTTTTGCAGATCCCTTTTTCTTGAATGATTTTGTCTCGTCCACAAAAGAGGGTCAGATTATATTCTAGTATCCAGAGAATAATAAAGAGTAATTCTATCTGCTTTTAAGTCCTTTTTGCTTTCCCCCTTTTCCTTCTGGTGTAGAACTAGTCACCAGCTCAAGTTTTTCTGTGGTACAACTTACATTTCTGTTATTTCATATTCCTTTTCCCACTTCTTTCTTCTGTTCAAGTAGCCTCAATCTCAAAAATCTGCTCGTCTCCCTCTCTGTCCTCTTGGCGGAGGTGTGACCCACTTCCCCTCCGGTCTGAGAGGTCAGGAGCAAAGTGAGGACACACGAGGAGGAAGGAGAACCTCAGCGCGCAAATATGAGCAGCATGAAGAAAAAAACGCTGCATTTCTGTAAAGTGTGGTTCAGTGGGTTTATTGGGTAACGGATACGCTGAAATTCAATCCAAAGTTGGGTTTAGCCAAAAAGGTTTTAATGGTATTAGAGACATTACTTCATGGAGAAGTGGCTTCTCTCGTGAGCAGCGTGCAGAGATTAAAAATCAGTGATCAGAAAATTGAATAATGACATCCTTGCTTGATCCAGATGTGGGTCATCTACATGCGATTGCTGTCACACACACACACACACACACACACACACAACTGCAGCTACTGCTTCGTATCTTAAGACGTAAAACTCCGACGCAGTGTTTTCTGAGAGAAAATACGAGCTTGTACTTATGAAATATGGCTCTGAAATTTCATATTGTGTTTCACTAAAGCGAGAAAACCTCAAGAGGTGCGAGCGTAACCGATGTCGGACCCGGTCCTCTTATCACCTCGAAAGTGAGGGAAAGTCCAGCCAGGTGGATTTGGGTGTGTTGCGTTAATGTGCACACACACACATGCACAAAAAAAAAAAAAAGAAGGGGGGAAAGAAAAGAGTTTTTCGATTGGACGGGACAGGAAGGGATCAGGGGGTTAACTTTCCTCCAAAGGGTGTCAAAAGAGGGAACTAAATTGGGTGTCAGAAAGTGCTAAGGAGCTGAAGTAAGTCAGGGTCCCCGGTTCCCATGTGGGTGGGTGCTCGCTTTATATTTTACAGACAATGTCCCTTTAAAAAGCCCCACGTCTGGAAAGCCCATTAGATGTGCATATAAAATTTCCCCCGTGATTAATAGTTGATGAAGCAGGGTTGTTTGGAGGGTACTACCAACATGTGGCCGGCAGGGCTCCTCCTCTGCAATCTCACGTTACACCCCATAAACTTGCCACTCTTTCCCACCTATATGTTTAAAAAGGAGGAGGGCTCACTTGTCAAGAAAGCCTTAGAAGAGTTGTGAAAACAGCCAGCCCGAGGAGGGGAGTCCTGCAGTTGCGGATGCAGCTCTCCTGTCGAGTCACAGGCCAACTCAGATCAGCCAAGGGGGGGAGAGGGTGTGTGTGTGTGTGTGTGTGTGTGAGCGCAAGGCATTGGGGGAAAGTGTGTGAGGACCAGAGGCTCCAAAGGACGTGACTCTCCCAGAGAGAGAGAGAGAGAGAGAGAGAGAGAGGGAAACACGCCGTCACAGGAAGGTGTCTGTCCTCACGCGTTCTGGACTCTGGAAGAGTTCGGCAGCCTCTGACAGAAGAGAGTATTCCAAGTATTCCAGCAGTGGAGACGATGATGTGCTGAAGTGGATGATTCTCAAAAGAGACAGAGACACAGATTTAAAGTCCTAACTCACTTTTCTGAGACGGGGGGGGGGTTTCAAATTCCTTCGACAAGGACAAGACTTGCAATAAGACGTTGACTGCAGAGTGTGTGAAAAGTTTCTGCATCACCATGGATCAGCCGGCCAGCAGCTGCATGCGGAGCGCCCACCCCGGCAGTTCCATCTGGGGCTGCATGAGGAACCCTCACTCAGGGGTCCCAGGGGCCAACCTGCAGTCGCCCTACCAGCAGGGACCTTTCTCCCTCCACCAGAAGCCCGAGTTCCTGGCCTACACGGACTTCTCCAGCACCTGCCTGGTGCCGACCGCCCCGCACGCAGCCTACCCCCGCGACGACAGACTGTACCAGGAGAGCCAGGGCGGTTACCAGAGAGCCGAGTGGCAGTTCAACCCCTGCGAGACGCGGGTGAGAGCGCCCGAGGCCTGCCCGCCCGTCGTCGCCCCCGCCGCAGTGGTGGGGGGCGGCGGGAGCGGAGGGCCCGACCTGGACAGTGTGGGGGGAGAGAGGCTGCCAGGTGCCGTGCCCGGGTGCCTGGAGGGGGAGTACTCACCCCAGAGCGTGGCGTCGGCCGACTCGGACAAGAAGAGCTCCAATAAGAGGAAGAGAGATGTCACAGGTGAGTGAGGGGCATGCTGGGATAGATGGCAGCTGGTTAATAGAGGGAGCAGGTCTTAGAGGAGGAACAGGTCCTTTAACCGAACATTCGAGAGTGTTAGAAAAGATAGTGGACATTCCTCTTCTTCTACCGCACACTGGTGAATAATGACTGAGGAAAAGAAGGGGAGGAAACGTGGAGATGATCCAAAGAATCAGCTCAACCCAGAGATCTGAGAAACGTTCCTAATTTAATTGGATCAAAGGCCAAAAAGTGAAATAAGGATCCCCAGTATTTTTTTATATTTCTCTGCAGACGAGTGTAAACAAACGCTCCGCAGCCGGTTTCTGCTGCTGTAAATCTCAAGGCTCAGGATGTCTCCCCTGGCACTGACACAAATCTTGCTTGATTTCCTCACCAAATTGGTTTGGAAGCAGCACTCTCACCACATCGCTATGTGAAAGGTGAGTAGGTGACGAGACTCTTGTGTTCGAGACACACGTTTCAAGCTGCAGTTGCATCCTCGCATTGTTCAGGGGAATTCAAAAGGCCCGAGTGATTAACGAGGCATCTGAACGTTTCATTGCGCTCCTGTATCCGTTGGAAATAGACCATTGTTTCGTAACGGTGCAGCCGCACATGTGACATCAGGGCTAAGAGGCATCACTGGTGCCTCAGGCTGTTGTCGTTAACTGAGGATTTATCAGGTCAAAAGTCCAATTAATACATAACTGAGCTGCAGTTAACGATGGACGGTGAAATAACGGTCGATTGAACTTTTAACAATGAAAAAGAAAAGTGGTGAAAGTGTAAGAAAATGGTTTTCAATGATATTTCCCTCATCAGCTCAGCGTCAGCACTGAAATCACATCATTGTACGTTTGTGTATTAACAGTAAAAATGTATATGTATCTACAGTATGGCGCCTAATTCTGAAAACTACGACACGTAAAAGACGGAAGGAATTTTTTTTTTTGTATTTCAGTCGAATGTAAAAGTTTGAATACGCCGAATTTCAAACTGTTAAAATGAAAATAAACGTCCAACACATCTGGATCGTCATCACAAATCTCCGCCTGTTTCCCTCACTCGTGATTTATGCGGTCAGACTGGTTTTCTACACCGATGGTAAGAAAGACGGCACTTAACGTTAATTAGATCACATTAATATTTTAGATTGTCTGTAGTATTTCTTGTGGATGATATTTAGCGATACGTCCGAGTATTTATGTTAAATGGGTGGAGTCAGCACCGTCATAGAGTCCAGATGTTGTTCCACATATTGATCTTGTTGTTGTTTGTCGTTCACACAGTTTTCAAGTTCGTCCAAATCCGAGTGAGAAGAGCAGGAATAATTATCAGAGTATTAAAAAAAACGACTTGACCAGCGTTTAACAGACACAACCCTGCAGTGAAGAGGGGGTGTACAGTCCTCCCCCCATCCTCCTCCCCCTCCATCCCTTTCTTACCTTATTGTAACCTCCACTGAAAACATGCCAGACCACGTCTGCTAAAATCACTTGCCCGTGAGCGAGCCCACTTTTTTTTTTTTTTTTTTTACATTCAGTCAAATGTTAA